CACCCAATCTCATGCCAATTTCATACGACCAATTCGCACACGTCATCCAACATATACAGGCTACCAGTAAGCCATGCCAACTCACAATTTTACCAATTCAATTCGCACGTGCACAATTTAACGCGATTTTTTACATTTTAAGCCAAATTTCACCACTCACGGGCGTCATACTCCTACCGACAACCCCAAACCATCACGCACGATGTCTCAAACACCAATATGCATCAATTCAGCCACAGAATGAACAGTGATTCGGCCACCATAGAAAAATCACTATAACGGCACATTTAGGCCCGTTTTTCACGCAATAAGTCACAATAATCACTCGTAATTATTCCAATCACAAAATCAATCAATTCTAACCTCCAATCCACCTCAAAAATCATCACAATTTCATCCAAATAGCTCAGCCAAAGCAGCCCAACCATTTCTCTATGAATAACCCCTAAAACTTGCTAAAACGGGCCCGAACTAACCCGAAATTATCCGTTATCCTAGGCGAGGGTTAGGATATCACTTACTTGTGATTCCACGCAAAATAAAGCCCTCAAAGGTGGCTAGACAGAGAGCAAACAGCAGCGGCAGCGGCGTCCCACGAAAAGGGGTACCGGCGTCCACGAGCGGCGGCGATGGGCGGCGATGGGCTGCTGGTTTCTCGGCTATTCTTGGTTGAAAAGGGGTGGCTGGTGATGGTGTTTCACGGTGGGAAACGAGAGAGAGAGACGGTGGTTGCAGTAGTGTGGCGAGACGAAACGGCGGCCATGGGCGTGGCCGGCTGGCCACTTCACGTGAGGGAGAGAGGGAAAAAGGGATTCGGCCGAGAGAGAGGGGAGAGGGAGAGAGACACGTGAGAATGAGGAGGAGAGAGAGAAAAGAAAATAAATACCAAGACACCAATAATTGGTACCTACCCCCCCCAAGAAAATTACCATCTTGCCCTCCTCTCTACTTTCCATCCGATGGCCACGATTCGTTCTTATCCAAAAATCGACGGCCACGATTCGTTCTTATCCAAAAATCAACGGCCAAGATTAATTCTTTCCAAAAATATCTAAGGATAAAATTGGAATTTCACAAAAAGTGCAGGGGCAAAATCATCCAAAAATTTATATATCTAAAGTGGGGGTGAAATGACCAAAATGCCCTCTCACTTTTATACTTAGCCTTAACAAAGTCCTAGGGGCAAAACGGTCATTTTCCACTTCCTGTCAAAATTTCAGTTTTCTGACGAAGCCGGACAAATCTGAGGCTAACCACGATAATAACGATGTCGTCCAATTACTCTGTCATGACTTTCAAAATTTTCGACACCCAAACTCGGTCTCCATTTAATGACCAAACTCAAATAAATGCGACTTGAGCTTATCTCAAACTAACGGGCGGCTTTCGGGAAAATTCGTATATTTGACCCGTGGTCGATACTAAATCGAGCCACGTTTAAGTTCACTTGAACCATGGTGACCTCGATTATTATATAATTGCGAGGATCAATCACTAGTTCTAGAGAATGCGATCGTTTGGAATAGGTTTGAGATTGTTTGCAAATTTCGTATTCTGGCGAGGCGGAATCACCCGTGATCCAATTATACGGCATTCGCAAATCGATCCATGACCATCCTTAAATCTGTCTATATTAGTCCAAAATATCACCTCGACAATCCTTATGGTCGAAAGTCAGTCAATGGTCAAATTCTATGATTGCACGAATCTAGATCCCTAATTAGCCTTTCCCTACTGGTTAGTGTCTCAAGAGTGATCAAGTCTGGGCGAGATTTACTACAAGTGCGTTATTGAAATTATGCATTTCATAAATACCAAGTGGGTCGAAATTTAGAATGTCACAACTCTTCCCCCCTTATAAAAATTTCGTCCTCGAAATTTACAATCAAAACCAAACTATTCAAACAACTGGGGGTAATGACGCCTCATCAATTCCTCGCTTTCCCAAGTAGCGCCTTCGGTCCCGTGATGTTCCCAAATCAACTTGACCAGCAGAATTGTCTTGCTCCTTAAGACTTGTTCCTTCCTATCCTCGATCCGTACCGGTCTTTCCACATACGACACTTTGTCATCCACTTCTATCTCCTCATAATTCAGTACATGAGCTGGATCCGGTTCATACTTCCTTAACATCGACACGTGGAATACATTGTGCACTTGAGATAAGTTTGGCGGTAAGGTGAGTCGATACGCTAAATCTCTAATCCTTTCCAACACCTCAAAAGGTCCCACAAACCATGGACTTAATTTCCCTTTCTTACCAAATCGGAACAATCCTTTTATTGGTGATACCTTGAGGAATACGTGATCCCCTACTTGAAATTCCAAAGGTCTTCGTCTTCTGTCTGCATAACCCTTTTGACGGCTTTGCGCTGTTTTCAACCTTTCGCGAATAACCTTAACCGCCTCAACTGACTATTGAAGTAATTCTGGCCCGGTTATAGTCCTTTCTCCAACTTCGTCCCAACATACGGGCGTCCTACATGCTTTTCCATACAACGCTTCAAATGGCACCATTCCGATATTCTGCTAAAAACTATTATTGTATGAGAATTCTACTAAGGGTAATTGTTCTTCCCACTTGCCTTAAAAATCCAATACACATGCTCGAAGCATATCTTCTAGAGTCTGAATTGTTCTCTCAAACTGGCCATCCGTTTGTGGATGGTAAGCTATACTAAACTGCAGTTTTGATCCTAATGCCGTCTGCAGACTTTTTCAAACGTTGGCGGTAAATCTGGAGTCACGATCCGAAGTAATCGTCACTGGTACCCCATGCAAACGAATTATCTGTTGTACATACAATTCAGCATATCGGTCCAATGAGAAGTCCTTTCGCACTGACAAGAAGTGCGCTGACCTTGTCAATCTATCAATAATGACCCAAATGGAATCATGGCCCTTTTGGCTCCTTGGTAATCCCATTATAAAATCCATAGTCACGTGCTCCCATTTCCATTCTGGAATTTCCAAAGGTCGTAACAATTCTCCGGGCTTACAATATTGTGCTTTTACCTGCTGGCAGGTCAAATACTTAGCTACGTGCTTAGCTAGGTCCACTTTTATGCCATTCCACCAATAGTACTGTCTCAAATTATGGTACATTTTCGTACTACCAGGATGGATACTATAATTACTTCGATGTGCTTCCATTAAAATCTCTTCCTTAAGTTTCGCGTCATCGGGCACACACAACCTTCCTTGAAACTTCAAGATCCCGTCTTCGAATACTTGAAAGTCAACTTTCTTCTTAGTAACATCCATTTCCAGAATTTTCTGAATTTCCTGGTCCGTAGATTATAAAGCCTTAATCTTAGTCTGGATTTCTGGTTCGATCCTTAGTGTGGCTAGTAAACTCAATACTTGACTTACTTCAAGTCTAAATTTCGAGTCTTGAACCTTTTCCAATAAGGTCCATTCCTTAACTAACAAGTATGCGATGTTCGACTTCCGACTTAACGCGTCAGCTACCCGGTTGGCATTTCCGGGATGATACAAAATATTACAATCATTGTCCTTAAGTAACTCCATCCAACGACGCTGTCTCATGTTAAGCTCCTTTTGAGAAAACAGATATTTGAGACTCTAATGATCCGTATAGATTTGAAATCTTTTCCCGCACAAGTAATGTCTCCAGATCTTAAGGGCGAAAATGATTGCGGCCAATTCCAAATCATGCGTCGGGTAATTTAACTCATGTGGCCTCAATTGCCTTAATGCATACGCTACTACTCGACCATGTCGCATAAGCACACATCCTAATCTTTTCAATGACGCATCACTATAAATCTCATACCTTCCGGCCCTAACGGAATAGTCAATACTAGCATAGTTGTCAGCCTATGCTTTAGTTCCTAAAAACTCTTTTCACATTTGTCATTCCATTGAAACTTCGTTTCTTTCTTTAGCAGACATGTTAACGGTGTCGCTATAGCTAAAAATCCTTCCACAATACGTCTATAATACCTTGCCAGACCTAAGAAGCTTTGAGCTTCGGTTACCATCATCGGTCTCGGCCATTTCATTACAGCTTCCATCTTTCCTAGATCTACTGAGATTCCTTTCTTAGAGATCACGTGTCCAAGAAATGCTACTCGATTGAGCCAGAACTCGCACTTACTAAACTTGGCGTACAATGCGTGTTCTCTTAAGGTCCGTAGAACTTTACTTAAATGTATCTTATGCTCTTCCGGGCTCTTCGAGTACACCAATATATCATCTATAAAAACTATAACACATTGATCCAAGAACTCTTTAAACACACGGTTCATCAAGTCCATAAAGGCAGCAGGGGCATTAGTTAGCCCAAACGGCATTACTATGAACTCATAGTGCCCATACCTTGTCATAAATGCCGTTTTTGGTATATCCTCCTTCTTAATCCTCAATTGGTGGTAACCAGTCCTTACATCAATCTTAGAAAATACTGACGCTCATTGTAACTGATCAAACAGGTCATCAATCCTCGGCAGGGGATATTTATTCTTGATAGTCACTTGGTTCAACTGCCTATAATCGATACACAACCTCAACGACCCATCTTTCTTCCTTACAAACAACACTGGCGCTCCCCATGGAGACGCACTTGGACGAATAAAACCTTTGTCCAACAATTCTTGCATCTGAACTTTCAATTCTTTTAACTTAGACAGTGACATCCTATAGGGTGCTTTCGAAATTGGCTCTGTCCCAGAGGCCAATTCGATTACAAACTCTACTTCTCTTTTTGGTGGCAATCCCGGCAATTCCCGAGGAAAGACATCGGGAAAGTCGCGCACCACGGCTATATCCTCTAGCCTCGGCTCCTCAATCGTCGAATCAACTACTGACGCTAGGAATCCTTGGCATCTTTCGTCCAACAACTTAGTCACTTCCAGTGACGAAATCCAAGGAATCGAGGTTCCTCCTCGACTTCCTACAAATTCAAATCTAGGATGTCCAACTGGATTAAATTGGAGCACCCTGCTACTACAATCCATTATGGCCCTCTGCTTGGTCAATCAATCCATACCCACAATCACATCGAAATCAAACATAGGTAGAACAGCCAAATCTATTCTTTCTTCTACATCACCAATCACAATTTTGCAATCCGAACAGCCTAGCGAAACTAGCATTTTATCATTCAATGGAGTAGCAACAAACGACACAACATCAAGCGGTTTCGGTTCTATTCCAGTCAATATAACGATTTGTTCAGACACAAACGAATGTGACGCCTTCGGATCAAACAAAGTATACGCAGCATGATCACAGAGAGAGACCGTACCTGTGACCACGCCTGGCGCGTCCTCAACTTCCCTTCTCGCCATTGCATATACTCGTCCTTGGGCTGCCGGCCTATTCTGATTAGTCGAAGGGGCAGCTCCAATTCGATTTCCTTGCCGGGGCGGCTGTAACTGTACAGGCGATCCAGTCTGCCTGATGTTGGGGCAATTTCTTATATGATGGACTATTCCGCCACACCCAAAACAAGCTTTACCTCTATTTGGGCAAGATCCATTGCCGTGCCTTTGTCCACACAGGCGACACGGCCTATTCTGAAAACGATTCGGTTTCCCTATATTCTTCCTAGCGGGAGGGACAAAACGCTGATTCCCCGATATCGGCCTTTTCCCAAAATTACGATTGTCCCTAACCGGAGCATATCTCGATCCAGAAGCAGCGGCTCTATCCGCGAAGTCACGCTCAATCGCCTGAGCCCGCTCATAAATCTCATTATAATCTCTTAAATTCAAAGATACCATCTGACCATGAAGGTCCGGTTTCAACCCATCTCGGAACCTTCGGGCCTTATCCCATGGATCTTCCACCATTCTCGGGGCAAACTTGGATAATCTAGAAAATTCTGCCTCGTACTGATCCACAGACATCTGTCCCTGCCGAAGTCTCATGAATTCGGCTAACTTTCTCTCTCGAGCACTCTCCGAAAAATACTTGCCATTAAAGACTTCCATAAATACAGCCCAAGTCCGAACGACATCTGCGGCGAACACTCGACCCTTGGTGGCTTTTCACCAATCACTTGCATTTCCTTGCAATTAATACACTGCTAAAGTCACTTTCTCCTCATCCATACACCCCAAAACCTCAAAAGACTTTTCTAATTCTAGCGATGCAACCTCGGGATCGCCTTTACCATCGAACTTCGGAGGTTTCAACTTCAAGAACTGCTCAACTAACTGGTGCATCTACCTATTCGCATTCACTTACTCCTGACCTTGATCCTGATTCCCATTATTGGGAACAGCAGCTGCTGCAGTAGCCTGAGCGATATTGGCAGCTCGCTCCTGAGTCTGCCTACCCATTAAAGTCCCAACCTCCTCAAGTACTCTTAAAATTCCATGAACTCTGGGATCTTCCACAACTCTAGCTCGTACACCTACTCAACCTCTTGTTCCTCTTCCTACACCCCTTCCTTGGCTGTCCATACTCACAAAATTCTATCACTCACCTACCTGCTATAATTCCACTCAGAAATTAGAGACCTAGGTCTACTACACCATTCTATAGTCCTAGGCAGTGAATTATCTCGATAATTCACTTAACAAGCAATCAACCACCACAACACGATATCACAATCAATAGGGTTCGTGCACGTACCTTAGGTCCAGACACACCTGCAACTCAACTGTTAAAGCACTCAATTCACCCATCAATCATAACAAACAATCCAGAGATACGTGTAGCGCTAGACACACCTATGGCTCACTAAGGTCTCCCTAAATAGCTACCCCGGGGTCTCCGCTCCTTATCACTTCAGGCTTCGACCAACTTGGATCGAGCTGACCTTGCTCGCCCTATAGGGGGTCCACTCAGAATCGGTCTCGTTGATGCCAGTCTGTTCCTCTGAAGGCTTGGATTCAGCATTGATCTCAATCGGATTGTCCTTGTCTCCCGACTCCGCTGGAACTTCGATCAGCTAATTGATTTTAAATAAAACCGTGAGAACACTTCTCAGCAAGCGAAAGCCCAAAACCCACCTAGGCTAACACGTATCTCTGGGCATGTTCGAGCACACAAATCACACAACTAGCAAGCCAGAACAATAGCAGGTACAAATGTCTCACCTTGATACGCACGAAATCTTACATGCGAATTCAAATATTATTATCAGAAACCGACACCATGTCGCACTCAATAATACCAATCAAACCATATTCATGCCCACATTCGCATAACAACCACAACATCATACGATTCCCATTTCACTCGAGCACACGCATCCAATTCATTTCTGACCCGCGTAATTACTCCTTAAGTCCACTTTCGATCCACTATCCACATACAACCGTCTCATATTCACAACACTCCTTAGCCCGCGTTACAGTACACGCCTCAGGCTCAACATCCTCCACCTGCGGTACAACCCACGTAACATATTCACAATACTCCTTAGCCCGCGTTACAGTACACGCCTTAGGCTATGTCTCTTGCCCGCGTTACAGTACACGCCTCAGGCTCGACATCCTCCACCTACGGCACAACCCGCGTAAACGAACACGCCTCAGATTGGCGGTCTTCCGGTAATACCGGGCATCGTCCCGTGTTACAGTACATGCCTTAGAACGGGTTCAATTCTCCGCGTAAAACGCATCAGGGATTATGTTATCACACGTGCACACATTTTCCATTTATTAACTAGACCCCGCGTAAAAACGCATCAGGGTATTTAATGACCATGTAACACATCGGCACCCAATCTCATGCCAATTTCATACGATCAATTCGCACACGTCATCCAACATATACAGGCTACCAGTAAGGCATGCCAACTCACAATTTTATTAATTCAATTCGCACGTGCACAATTTAACGAGAATTTTTGCATTTTAAGCCAAATTTCACCACTCACGGGCGTCGTACTCCTACCGACAACCCCAAACCAACACGCACTATGTCTCAAACACCAATATGTATCAATTCAGCCATAGAATGAATAGTGATTCGACCACCACAGAAAAATCACTATAACGGCACATTTAGGCCCGTTTTTCACACAATAAGTCACAATAGTCACTCGTAATTATTCCAATCACAAAATCAATCAATTCTAACCTCCAATCCACCTCAAAAATCATCACAATTTCATCCAAACAGCTCATCCAAAGAAGCCCAACCATTTCTCTACGAATAACCCCTAAAACTTGCTAAAACGGGCCCGAACTAACCCGAAATTACCCGTTATCCTAGGCGAGGGTTAGGATATCACTTACTTGTGATTCCACGCAAAATCAAGCCCTCAAAGGTGGCTGGACAGAGAGCAAACAGCAGCAGCGGCGGTGTCCCATGAAAAGGGGTATCGGCGACTCACCGGCGTCCACGAGCGGCGGCGATCGGTGGCGATGGGCTGCTGGTTTCTCGGCTGTTCTTGGCTGAAAAGGGGTGGCTGGTGATGGTGTTTCACGGTGGGAAACGAGAGAGAGAGACGGTGGTTGCGGTAGTGTGGCGAGACGGAGGGGCGAACGGTGGCTCGATGGAACGGCGGCGACGGCGGCCAAGGGCGTGGCCGGCTGGCCACTTCACGTGAGGGGGAGAGGGAAAAAGGGATTCGGCCGAGAGAAAGGGGAGAGGGAGAGAGACACGTGAGAATGAGGGGGGGAGAGAGAAAAGAAAATAAATACCAAGACACCAATAATTGGTGCCTACCCCCCAAGGAAATTACCATCTTGCCCTCCTCTCTACTTTCCATCCGACGGCCACGATTCGTTCTTATCCAAAAATCGACGGCCAAGATCAATTCTTTCCAAAAATATCCAAGGGTAAAATTGGAATTTCACAAAAAGTGCAGGGGCAAAATCGTCCAAAAATTTATATCTCTAAAGTGGGGGTGAAATGACCAACATGCCCTCCCACTTTTATACTTAGCCTTAACAAAGTCCTAGGGGTAAAACGGTCATTTTTCACTTCCTGTTAAATTTTTTTTGACGAATCTGGACAAATCTGAGGCTAACCACGATAATAACGACGTCGTCCAATTACTCTGTCATGACTTTCAAATTTTCGACACCCAAACTCAGTCTCTATTTAATGACCAAACTCAAATAAATGCGACTTGAGCTTATCTCAAACTAACGGGCGGTTTTCGGGAAAATTCATATATTCGACCCGTGGTCAATACTAAATCGAGCCACGTTTAAGTTCACTTGAGCCATGGTGACCTCGATTATTATATAATTGCGATGATCAATCACTAGTTCTAGAGAACGCGATCGTTTGGAATAGGTTTGAGATCGTTTGCAAATTTCGTATTCTGGCGAGGCGGAATCACCCGCGATCCAATTATACGGCATTCGCAAATCGATCCATGACCATCCTTAGATCCATCTATATTAGTCCAAAATATCACCTCGACAATTCTTATGGTCAAAAGTCAGTCCATGGTCAGATTATATGGTCGCACGAATCTAGATCCTTAATTAGCCTTTCCCTACTAGTTAGTGTCCTAAGAGTGATCAAGTCTGGGTGAGATTTACTACAAGTACATTTTTGAAATTATGCATTTCATAAATACCAAGTGGGTCGAAATTTAGAATGTCACAAATAATGTATGAAATCATGAACGAATTGCTTGGGAAAATCTTCCTAGGGATCAGCATGTGATATGATCATGTTTGCCCATGTGGACAAGTGGAAGCTCCACGTTCAGTTGGCTATCACAATCTATGTCGATAGAGACATATTGCAAAAAGAAATAAAATCTTTCTCAAAAAGAGGTCTCTTAGTTTCTTTGCCCCTACCGCATGCATGGGATTCGTGCATTGACCAGCATGGCGATGCTAATGATTATCTTGTTTTTAAATCACACTCTTACGTGGAACACACTGTACTTACTAAAACATATTTAAAAATTGATTTATAAAATAACGTTTTAGGCAGTTATGATTCCACTTGGTTTATAAGGATCATTTACAATCTGACACATTATTTGTTAGAAATGCGCAGCAGAAGCCCGATATCTTTACCTAAGGAGATCGCCAAGAGTGAGTTCAAGTTCGAGCCCGTCAACATATCCAGTTGGACCCACCTTCACTCAAAAGCTTAAGCCAATGAGTTATGAGCCAACTAAGATATATTAACTGCTCAACACCATATCAATTATCCAATGTGAGACTTCTTTAACACAACTCATACATGTATCTTAACAATCTCCCCTCACGTGTGAGCTCAGTGTTAGGTTTGCTCCCTCTTAATTTAGGTATTCTTCTTTATTAGTTTATCTCAACTTGAATCTCCAAGTCATTGCAATACATCTACAACTATGCACAACAACCATCATCAACTATTAACTTGGGATTGCATCACTCATAGTCTCTATTTCGCATTACCAGACTAACTATCCATGGTCACTTCTCGCCAGACCAACCGTGATAGCAATTTCCACTCGAAACAAGCATCGATCATGATATTTCTTTGTTGAGATATTCACCAAACACCGGAATAGATTAGAGGCCCACCAATCAACGATCGGCTCTGATACTATTTGTTGGGAGTACGTAACAGAAGCCTGATACCTTTACCTGGGGAGATCGCTAAGAGGGAGTTCAAGTCCGAGCCCGTTAACATATCCAGTTGGACATATCTTCACTAAAAAACTTAAGCCAATGAGTTATGGGCCAACTAGGATATATTAACTGCGGCAAAAGAACACTACAAGTGCCATAACTTGTGTACGGCTTTCACTTTAGTGCCATAACTTTTTTTTGGATCACTTTAGTGCTAAAATTTTTGAAAAACGATCACTTAAGTGCTAAAATTTTTGAAAAACGATCACTTAAGTGCCAACTCCGGTGCCGTAAACAATTTTTCGCCGGAAATCTGACGTGGCATTTTTTTATTAATTTCTGAAGCTGACGTGGCTCGCCGGAGTCTC